TCAGTAATATTATATTAATTATTGTCAGTAGGTTAAAGTCAGTAATATTATATTAATTATTGTCAGTAGGTTAAAGTTAGTAATATTGTATTAGTTATTGTCAATAGGTTCAGATTAGTATAATTGTATTAATTATTATCAGTAGGTTAAAGTCAGTTTTTAATAACGAAAAAAATATTCTGAAGTTCTAAAGAACATTTTCAGATTGGATTGCCATTTCCACTCTTTGAACTACCAAAATTATCTATCAATTATTTCGTTTCATTTTTAGGTTTAGGTGCGCTATCTTTGAACAAAGAATAATATCTGCCAACATATTTCTACTTCTAATAAACTCGAAGTTCATGCCATTTAAGTTATTAATTTTATTTTTTTTCCAGTTGTCAATACAAGTGACAACATTTTACTCACCTCCAGTGTAACCCGAAGTAGTTGATTTGTCGTCGTTTTGATTTCTTTTGATGGAGCCCCAATCATTCACAGCATCCCTCACTGATAATAAACAAGTAAACCTTAACTGTAAGAAACGAGTATTCAGTAAACACTAACAGTACAGTAGAAACATACAGCATCCAGTGAAGACTAACGATACTGTAGGAAGATACAGTATTCAGTAAACACTAACAGTACAGTAGAAACATACAGCATCCAGTGAAGACTAACGATACTGTAGGAAGATACAGTATTCAGTAAACACTAACAATACAGTAGAAAGATATAGTATTCAGTAAACACTAACAATACAGTAGAAAGATACAGTATTCAGTAAACACTAACAATACAGTAGAAAGATACAGTATTCAGTAAACACTAACAATACAGTAAGTAGAAATATACAATATTCAGTAAAGGCCAACTATACAGTAGAAACATACAGTATTCAGTAAACACTAACAATACAGTAGAAAGATACAGTATTCAGTAAACACTAACAATACAGTAGAAAGATACAATATTCAGTAAACACTAACAATACAGTAGAAAGATACAGTATTCAGTAAACAATAACAATACAGTAGAAAGATACAGTATTCAGTAAACACTAACAATACAGTAGAAAGATACAATATTCAGTAAACACTAACAATACAGTAGAAAGATACAATGTTCAGTAAACACTAACAATACAGTAGAAAGATACAGTATTCAGTAAACACTAACAATACAGTAGAAAGATACAGTATTCAGTAAACAATAACAATACAGTAGAAAGATACAGTATTCAGTAAACACTAACAATACAGTAGAAAGATACAATATTCAGTAAACACTAACAATACAGTAGAAAGATACAGTATTCAGTAAACAATAACAATACAGTAGAAAGATATAGTATTCAGTAAACACTAACAATACAGTAGAAAGATACAGTATTCAGTAAACAATAACAATACAGTAGAAAGATACAGTATTCAGTAAACAATAACAATACAGTTGAAAGATACAGTATTCAGTAAAGGCCAACAATACTGTAGAAACATACAGGATCCAGTGAAGCCTAACGATACTGTAGGAAGATACAGTATTCAGTAAACACTAACAATACAGTAGAAAGATATAGTATTCAGTAAAGGCCAACAATACTGTAGAAACATACAGGATCCAGTGAAGCCTAACGATACTGTAGGAAGATACAGTATTCAGTAAACACTAACAATACAGTAGAAATATACAGTATTCAGTAAACACTAACAATACAGTAAGTAGAAATATACAATATTCAGTAAAGGCCAACAATACTGTTGGAAGATACAGTATTCAGTAAACACTAACAATACAGTAAGTAGAAATATACAATATTCAGTAAAGGCCAACAATACTGTTGGAAGATACAGTATTCAGTAAACACTAACAATACAGTAGAAATATACAATATTCAGTAAAGGCCAACAATACTGTTGGAAGAGACAGTATTCAGTAAACACTAACAATACAGTAGAAATATACAATATTCAGTAAAGGCCAACAATACTGTAGAAACATACAGTATTCAGTAAACAATAACAATACAGTAGAAAGATACAGTATTCAGTAAAGGTCAACAATACTGTAGGAAGGAACGGGGTTTTCAACAGAACTTTCACGGGAGTTAAAAGAACAATATATAGTAATAGTTGTTAAAACAATTTTTAAAAGTTAAAACATATTAATATATCCTATGATTTGTTAAGCAAGTAGGATAAAAACAGTAGAATTAACAAATAAAGTCAGAGCTTACACAAGTTAGAAAAAAGGGTTAGCGCTTGTTCTCCATTGTTCTTAGGAAAATTAGCGCATGCGCTCTTGTTTAATAAAAACTGTCTTTTTCGTCTTAGTGTGTACAGATTACTCTCCCCAATAAATAACGGGAGAGCATATTATTTGACTTTCAATAACGCCAAGGTGATGTTATTCTACACAAACGTTTATCCGAGACCAGTGAGTAAAAAGAGAAACAGAACAAATCAAAGAAAATAAATTTGATTTCGGCTAACACTACTTACTAGCAAAGTGCTGGCATTTAACAGAGTCTTTAGTCTTAACTCCAGGGCTTGCCAAAGTTTTCGAAGAGAGAGAGCATTCAGCATAGGTGGCGTCCTTCTCCGACTCGGAAGGACAGTAATTAAAAGACTTGCAGTTCAATTCGGGCTGTTCAGAACACATACGTGCACATTCCTCGAGTGTCAGTGATGAAAACACCTTACTGTCTTTATCGTCTATGAGGGTGCGGCCCATGTCTAGGTAGTCGGCTATGAATTTTGCTAAACAAATGAAAAATAAGAATATAATCTCGCGACAAGTAAATAATTCAACGCGCATGCGCGGAGCTGATAATAGGTTATTAAATTGTACATTGAGTAAACATCAAACACAATAAAGACTACTTGGTGATTTTTTTAATTTAAACAGTATATATATGTAACATTACTTATCTTATTCAGTATATATATGTAACATTACTTATCTTATTCAGTATACATATGTAACATTACTTATCTTATTCAGTATATATATGTAACATTACTTATCTTATTCAGTATAATATGTAACATTACTTATCTTATTCAGTATATATATGTAACATTACTTATCTTATTCAGTATATATATATATATATATATATAACATTTCCGAGATTCGTTAGCACTAGTATTAGGTTTTGTTTAAATTCAACAAGTCACATAAAAACTGGTCAACAGCTGTTTACTGACCAGCATAATGGGAACAAGTCGCCTTGGCCGTCACCATATTTGATGGATTAATATCCAACACGTGTTTTTTATGAAGGACACAACTATTTTTATCTTCACAGTATTCAAACCCCCGGCATCTAAACTCGGTCTCAGATCGGCATTTCTTGGCACATTCCGCGGGAGAACGCGTTCCGTCAACAGACTTGTCTCCGCCAGTGAGAAAGACTTTTCCTTCGTACTTGTCGTAAAACATTAGATAGTTTCCTGAAATAAAGAGATTTACTTAAATCAAACTCAACAAGAAAAGTTGTGTTTACTGTTAATATTCAACATTTTTATCATATCTCACACGTTTCGTTTAGTCCTGGAGAAAATGTCTTCATGTGTTCTCTTTATTTTATTTTCTAGAGAACATAGAAGCTGAACATGAAATGTTGTGCGAATTTTAGTTTATGTTTCCAACAATAAACACAGTACTGGGGATATGCATATTGTAGTTTATAGGTTCTCATTGTGAATAGAACGTTATGGTGTGAAACACCTCGTTAACAGAACGTTTCGATGTGAAATAATTCGCGAATAGAACGTTTCGATGTGAAACACCTCGTGAACAGAACGTTACAATCATACGACATATACTAATTTAACGGTACGAAGACTGAAAGCTAAGACTAACAAGGTTTTAAATTTACTTCATAATGTGTATTAATTTAACTGTACCAAGACTGAAAGCTAAGACTAACGATGTTTTAGATTTACTGCATAATGTGTATTAATTTAACGGCACCAAGACTGAAAGCTAAGACTAACAATGTTTTAGATTTACTGCATAATGTGTATTAATTTAACGGTACGAACACTGAAAGCTAAGACTAACGATGTTTTAGATTTACTGCATAATGTGTATTAATTTAACGGTACGAAGACTGAAAGCTAAGACTAACAATGTTTTAGATTTACTGCATAGTGTGTATTAATTTAACGGCACCAAGACTGAAAGCTAAGACTAACGATATTTTAGATTTACTGCATAATGTGTATTAATTTAACGGTACGAACACTGAAAGCTAAGACTAACGATGTTTTAGATTTACTGCATAATGTGTATTAATTTAACGGTACGAAGACTGAAAGCTAAGACTAACAATGTTTTAGATTTACTGCATAGTGTGTATTAATTTAACGGTACCAAGACTGAAAGCTAAGACTAACGATGTTTTAGATTTACTGCATAATGTGTATTAATTTAACGGTACCAAGAATGAAAGCTAAGACTAACAATGTTTTAGATTTACTTCATAATGTGTATTAATTCAACGGTACGAAGACTGAAAGCTAAGACTAACAATGTTTTAGATTTACTGCATAATGTGTATTAATTTGACGGCACCAAGACTGAAAGCTAAGACTAACGATGTTTTAGATTTACTTCATAATGTGTATTAATTTAACGGTACCAAGACTGAAAGCTAAGACTAACAATGTTTTAGATTTACTGCATAATGTGTATTAATTTAACGGTACGAAGACTGAAAGCTAAGACTAACAATGTTTTAGATTTACTGCATAATGTGTATTAATTTAACGGTACAAGACTGAAAGCTAAGACTAACAATGTTTTAGATTTACTGCATAATGTGTATTAATTTAACGGTACCAAGACTGAAAGCTAAGACTAACAAGGCTATGATTTACTTCATAACCTACTTGTATAAACTTCACAATGGCTGTTTGCTTCAAGTTCTTCTTTATCCTTTTCGTTATTTTTCCTGATCAGGACAGACGAGATTCGACAAGTTCTGTCTTTGGCCGTAGTACAGAAGGAAAAGCTACTGCAGGCCAGTGACGTCGCTTCTCGACATCTCTTGTAGCAGTCGCCTCTAGTTCCCACGTTCCCCAAATCTCTCGTGGTTTGAGAGTATTTGTCCAACTGGTATTCTTCAGCTACAGTATCATAAGTTTCGTCTTTGACTGTGAAGGAAAGGAAGAAAGCTTTTTTAAATACAGAGACAAAAAGAGTTTGAGTTATTCGTGGAGAAATTAAGTTTAATTAAAGACAAGTAGCCCAATATGCCAAGCCAGGGGTGCTTCTACACCCTCAGCACCCCTTCCTTCCAGCGCCCTCGCTTTCAAGTTTTTACCAAAGTCAATAATAAAGAATCAGGTTTCCTGTGTATCTATATCACAAATAATTTAAAATCAAATATCGAATTATAAGTTCACACAACTTTTCTAGTTATAAAAGTGGATAAAATTGATAACGGATTTTTCTTTTGGTTTGTTTGTAGTTAAGCACAAAGTTACACAATGGGCTATCTGTGCTTTTGGAATACAACGTGCTTAGCATGTGATTTATCGAGGCCATGCTAAACTGCAGGGATTATTAAAAGTAGGTAATTGTTTGTTTTTGTTTGTTTGTTTTTGAATTTCGCGCAAAGCTACACGAGGACTATCTGCGGTCCCTAATTTAGCAGTGTAAGACTAGAGGGAAGGCAGCTAGTCATCACCACCCACCGCCAACTCTTGGGCTACTCTTTTACCAACGAATAGTGGGATTGACCGTCACATTATAACGCCCCCACGGCTGAAAGGGCGAGCATGTTTGATGGGACGGGGATTCGAACCCACGACCCTCAGATTGCGAGTCGAGCACCTTATCCACCTGGCCATGCCGGGCCAAAAGTAGGTAAAATAAACAAACTTACAACGATAATAACCGGAGTTCCTAATAACAGAAGTTGCTTGATAATCTACCTGTGGAAAGAAAGGAAAATAATTAAAATTCGTTCTTTTTTTAAAGGATATTCGTGAAAATTAGAATTACACAAATACTGTTACGTACAACAAACAGCTGTTAACACACAAGATATTAATCTGTTCTGTAAATTGAAAGGCCAATTAGAAGATTTGGCATGTTTTTATTGAAAGGTATTTCTGAATTATTCCATGCACCATGTCCGTTGATCTCGTGTGTTTTAAGTGACCGATATTAAAATACTCACCGGATTATCGGATTTGGGTGGCATAATTCTTACTGTAAAACTTTTATTAACAGACGTCTCTAGACTTTTCAGTGCTTCCTCGTTTTTCACCTGGAAAACTGCGGCATTAGAGACAGCCCCTGCAGAATTAAATATCACGAAAAAATACAGAGAAACCAGTTTTAGTTTTAGTTGACAATAATGGAAAAGTAATCCAATTTGTAATAAGTGTGACAGTAAATCACCTTGCGAGATTGGTATTCATATTAATCCCACCATTCTCTATTATCCCATTATGGTCAAGAATAGTGTATGATAACTTTTCAACTATACCCTGTTTGTTATACATTGTTACCAGAGTGGAGTAATATGGTCTAGTTGAATAGTTAGGATAAACCTATAGAAGAATATGGTTTAGTTGAATAGTTAGGATAAACCTATAGAGGAATATGGTTCAGTTGAATAGTTAGGATAAACCTATGGAGTAATATGGTTGAGTTGATAGTTAGGATAAACCTATAGAGGAATATGGTTTACTTGAATAATTAGGATAAACCTATAGAGTAATAT